GGGGGGGGACAGGAAGCAGGAGTAGCTGCTTAATAGGCAAGGGGTTTCCTTGGAGATGATGGAAATGTTCTAAGGTTGATTGGATGATAGCACCCAACTCTGAACACACTAAAATCCACTGAATTGTGTGCTTTAAAGGGGTGAATTTTGTGACACATAAATCAATAAAATAAATTTTTGATTAATGCAAAACATCTGCAATGAACAAAATAGCAACATTTTAAATAAAGACAGGCTCCCACTTTTCCTCATCTCCCCCAAATCCCAGCCCTGAGCAAAAACTCATCCTCACACCCACACCCACCCCTCCCCTCTCCCAGTAAAGCCCTGACAACCCCCTGCAGGGTGTCCCCGGGGGGCCCTGAGCCCGGATCACAGGGATGGAAGTCGGGGTGGAAGTGGGCAGGGTGTGCTGTGGGGCGGCCCCAGGCTGGGCCTTTGCAGAGGGCCCACTGCTCTGGGGTCTGCGTGGCCACGGAGGAGGGGAGAAGGTGCCATTGGCCCCTGCCACCAGGCTAGGTCAGAGGTCGGGGCGGGTTAAAGGTGATGATAGAGCTCTCTCCCTCCGGTCAGCTCCAGGCCACCTTCTCCGTCTCCCCTCCCATACCTGGTGCCCCCATCGCCTTACCCTGAAGCACACCTTCATGTTTCACTCACCCACCTAACAAGCTGGACCACGGCGCTGCCCACCACGGTAGCGCTGGCCACGTGTGGCTACTGAGCCCTGGAAATGTGGCTGCGGCCACTGGCTGACATGATAATAGTTTGGCTATATTAGGTGTAATTTTACATTTTTATTTTATTTTTATTTTTTTAAATATATTTTATTGATTTTTTACAGAGAGGAAAGGAGAGAGATAGAGAGTTAGAAACATTGATGAGAGAGAAACATCGACCAGCTGCCTCCTGCACATCTCCTACTGGGGATGTGCCCGCAACCCAGGTACATGCCCTTGACCGGAATCGAACCTGGGACCTTTCAGTCCGCAGGCCGACGCTCTATCCACTGAGCCAAACCGGTTTCAGCGAAATTTTACATTTTAAAAACATTTTAAAATTAAACAGTAGAAAGGTTACTTCACCTGTTTCTTTTTACTGTGGGCAGTTTACTTTTGGCGTTTTACTCTCGAAAAATTTAAAACTTTTCGTGGCTCACGCGTGATTTCCCACGCGCTGTTTGTTACCTGTGGCCTGCCTGCCTCTGCCAGAGGATGCGCCCTGAAGCGGGCGTCCGTCTGTCTTGTGCGCCGCCGTCCTCCCAGGCCGAGAAGAGAGCCTCACACACAGAATAGATGCTCAAGAAGCATTTGCTGGCCGAAACCGGTTTGGCTCAGTGGACGGAGCGTCGGCCTGCGGACTGAAGGGTCCCGGGTTCGATTCCGGTCAAGAGCATGTGCCTGGGTTGCGGGCATTTCCCCAGTGGGAGATGTGCAGGAGGCAGCTGATCGATGTTTCTCTCTCATCCATGTTTCTAACTCTCTATCTCTCTCCCTTCCTCTCTGTAAAAAATCAATAAAATATATTTTAAAAAAAGGAGCATTTGTCAAATGACTAACAGTGTCATTGTGCACGGCCATGTTTAGCTATGTGCTAAGCTTTAGTCGTTCTCGGGCCGACTTAGGGAGTGGGTACTGTTATTCTTCCCGTTCTGCAGGGGAGGGAACAGGCTCAGAGGGTTACGGGACTCGCTCAGCACCCCCAGAGGGACTGCAGGGGGTGAGACGGTGGACGTCCCTGGAGAGGTGGGACCCATCTTCCCTCCACTGCCTCCTGTGGGTCAGACGGCTCGCTCCCAGGGCAGACGTCTCCGGCTCAGGCGGGGAGGGTGTGTGTGCGGTCGCTTCGTGGTTTCCTGGGTCTCCGACGTGGTGTCTCCTGCCAGGAGGCCGCTGGCTGCCTGCAGCTGCCCCCGTGGCTTTTCCCCTGGAGGAGCGGGGAGGGCGGGGCCTGGATCCTTTGCACAATGTTTGGACTCATTAACCCTGCAGCCCGGCGGCTGGGCCGGAGGTGACTGGGACTGAGGTGGATTTGGTGGAGGGGGGCCGGTAGTGGGTGCGGGGAGCCTGAGGGGGAGGTTCTCCCCGCCCGGGGACACACACAGGCTCTTGTCCCGGGCCCCCGAGCACGGCCGGTGTCGCATGAGGGGAAACCTCAGGAACCTGACCCCACCTCTCCGCAGATGTCGAGGCACAAACCCAGAAAGCTGGCTCCACCCCAGCCTGCCCTTCCCACCATCGGACAAATCTGAACTTGAGGGGGCGAGTGGGACTTTGCCTCTTTGAGAATCACACAGACGAGTTGGAATAGTTTGAATTTCATCCCCCCCCCGCCCATACACACACCCTGGGACACACTGGGTGGACTCAGGCAAGTGAGTGAGTCTTCTCTGACTCACCTATAAAACGGAGGTAGGGGCCTCCTGGACCTGCTGAGACAACTTAAAGTTGTAAAGAGCGACTGCAGAGCTCCCAGGCGTCCTTGGTTCAAGGTGACTTCCAATGACTCAGTAATTTCTTCACGGCACCTCCTACCCCCCGCCCCCCCCAAAAAACACCTAACAGTTATATTTAGTAAGTAGTTAGGTCAAAACAACTAATAAGTGTGTATGGCCAAACAACTTAGTAGCTGCTTGAAAAATGCACATAGATTGAAAGAAAAAATAATATTTTAGTTCCCTTTTTTAGTTGATTTTAGAGAGAGAGGGAGGGGGTGAGGGACAGAGAGAGAGAAAAATCTATTTGTTTTCCACTTGTTGATGCATTCATTGGTTGCTTTTTGTATGTGCCCTGACCCGGGATTGAACCTACAACCTTGGTGTCTCAGGACAGTTCTCTTAACCAGCTGAGCTGCCCAGCCGGGGAGTTCCTTGTTAAAAAATCATAAATTCTATTGGGATGAGTAGGCGCCAGGCAGCTGCTCAGACCTTGGAATTCGATGGGACGTCGCCACCTTCATTTACTGTCCACACTCATCTTTTTAAAAAATATATATTTTATTGATTTTTTACAGAGAGGAAGGGAGAGAGCTAGAGAGTTAGAAACATCGATGAGAGAGAGACATCGATCAGCTGCCTTCTGCACACCTCCCACTAGGGATGTGTCCGCAACCCAGGTACATGCCCTTGACTGGAATCGAACCTGGGACCCT